TATCTTCACTGGAATGTGATTGTAAGAACTGGGTTTGCCCTGTTGGAAACAGTTGGGAACTGGCGATGCTAACCCTCTGGAAATCAAGGTACACACAGTTGTAACACAGGAAATTAATGTGGCTTCTCTTCTGTTTTCTAGTAGTGACAGAGATCTGAATAGCAAAAGGAGTTTTACAGACCTAGCTCCTAAGTGAGATACCACTCAAATCTTGCTCTCAGCCTGGACTGACTAAAGAATATAGCACTTAAAATATTAAGTATATAATCCAGGTTTGTAATGACTTTACTAACAGTGAGGTATATTCATATGAAGACCTTTCGAAAAGCATTTCCTGTGCAACTAAATATAGTTTTAAGGATATCTTCCTCTATACTTCCTGTAAGTATGTGTGTGTATATGAGTTTGCTTGTGCATATGTATTCAAGCTCCTCTTTTTAGGTGAGCTTTAAAAAAAAAAAAAAAAAAGTGAAAAGTGAAAATCCACTGCCTGTAAATGCAAGGTGCGATAAAAGGGCAGATCAAGGGGGCAGCAAATGTAACAGTGCCACCTACCGGACAGTAATCAAATTTTGCTTTTCTAAAAAATTTATTAAATCAATTTAATGAACTGACATGAACTGACAGTCATACTCTGAAGTAGAAGTTATCGAAAGTTATCAAGTGCTGATACTAAAATAAGTACAGTAAGGAATTCCTTGAAATTCTGGGGAAAAAAATAATATAAACCAGGAACCTGGTAATACTATTTTCTGGTCTTTGTCATTAAGTTACCATGATAGCTGATGATCTGACTGGGAGCTTCAGCAGAGTGCAAGATTTTGAGTACTTTAATCTATATCATGAAGACAATTCCAGAAAACTTTCTGTAAGGAAGGAAATTTCCTAAAAGTCTATAAGAAGTCCTAGTCCATTGTGGTACATAGTGGGACAAAATTAATTTTGCTTTACCTTAGCTGTGCAAAGATTAGTTGTCTAAGTCCAGTGAGCCCATTCCTTGTCTATAGTCTGTGTTGAGAAAAAGGTACCTCTAGAGTCAGTTAGCTCATTTGGCCAGCTATCCTTTCTGTCGGGAATCTACAGGGGTCTTTTTTAGTTATAAAGAGACTCTACTGAGATTCCACTGAGACTTTGACTATTCATTTTAGTTCGGTGAATGAAATATGAATATGCCAAGGGAGCAGTGAGGAAGCTGTGTAGCCCCCCTGTCTGAGCTGCAGCTGCTCCCATGCCGATTCTCAGAGCCAAAGGCAGGGAGTCATTGCTGTGCAAATTCACCAAGTGGGAACTGTCCGGCTTCTACTTGTGCTGCAAGAGCCCTGCAGGTGTAGAGAATTATAGTCACTATCTGTGGTAGCAAGGGAGCATCTCCATAAACAGGAGATGATCAAGGGAAGAGACATAAAGGTCTTGGGCTCCAGAAGTGGGATGGTTCTGGTAGAAATGCTAATGATTTCAACATAACCGCACCCTGATGTCACCAAATTCAGTATGAAGCTATGACAATACAAAGCCATCCAAAACTTAAAGATACATTATTCACACCAGCTACTGCTGCTGTACTTGTCCAAGGAATAGTAGATTCCCTACATAGGCTCTCAAAATTGAGCAAAATCTTCCTCTGATCAGCTTTGGTGCTTGTCCAGAGAAACTGATTGGCAGAGAGGAGAGAGGCATGTTAACAGTGGAGTTCCAGTACAATCTCAGCTATTGAAATCTTTCTGTGATCTTGCTGAAATCTTACTGTCATGAGAAATGCCTGCCCTGTAGGCTTCAGTTTGCTCTTCTGTAGGAAAAGTGATGCACTCTTGCATTTAAGTTGTGTCCTGTACTCATAAATGCAAACTGCCCTCAAATATCTAAGAATCGCCTATGATATATTTATCAGGATATCTGAATGACAGAGAAACTCGAGCTACCAGCTAGATACCCTACTTTAAACACCTGTGATTGTTTTTCCACACATTTATTTCCCTGACATCTATCTGTAGCAGAAAGTTTCAAATTGCAATTTATACAGTCAGAATCACAGCCGACCTGATGAACTAGAGGAGGAATTTAAGCAATGCAACCTGGAGAAAAACAAAACAAAGCAAAAATGTACCTGGTAATCCCAGTAGTCTCAAAAAAAGAAAGGGGATGATAATTTAGCTCCTGTTTCCAAAATTCTTTTAGGATATAAACAGCTTATTAGTAGCTCAGTGTAAGAATAGCTTCTACTGTCTTCTCCAAGAGAATGTCATTTCTCATTTATAGTGCAGAATACTGTCAACTTGAAGTTAAAATGAAATGACTGGGATGTTTCTGCTCCTACTTCGTTTTTCCAGATCTATTTGTAAGGTATTCTGCCAGTCACTATTACGAAACTGCTCAAGGAAGTTAAACATGATAGGGATTGAGTACAGTCATTTCTGATTTATGAAATCCTCCAGGCACACAAGGTACTTGTTAAAGAAAAGTTTGTACATAT